GGAGTCTGGTCTCCATATATTTCCATATATTATCAGGTGAGGAAGTGTCTGGAACCCAGGATCTTAGCAAATGGATAGGCTCTGCACGAACACATGACAGTCCCTGATCCTCCATCTCATCCTTACCTCCCGCTTCTTAGAGGAGACCACGAGCTCCAGAAAGGACACCTTTTCTCCCCAGGAATCGATCTCTGTGAGGTCATAGAGAGTAGAGGTCAGTGGCCCATAGGTCCACTGGATGTGCTTCCGCTTCTGCATCAGGTGTTGGAACATCTGTGAGAACACAGCAGTGAGTTGGAGTGTCAGTGTGTGAGAAGCTGGTCCGGGGGAACACCACCATTGAAGAGCTTGGCACCCATTCCTTGGGACTGATGACAGTCAGGAGGTAGCAAGCCTTGGATTCCATAAACCTCCTTATTATTTTTTTGTTATCTTTCCTTCCCACAAACCTTACAAAGATCTGAAAGAAGAGAACAGGCAAAGGGAACAGAACTTTGGGTTCCCAGTAGATATTCTAAAGAATGAGCCTCAGGTCCTCCTTAGCCAGGGATTCCTGAGGCTGAGGCTTTTAGTGACAGAGTTGGAAGTAAGGGACTACCATCCTTTTGGAGAGTTTGAGGAGATGGATCATGAGAACATGTAGGATTGGAGGGTGTCCCTCACCACAGTGTTGCCCTCCACTCCAGCCAGCTTGAAGGGGGTGAGACCCTGGTGATTTGGTATAAGGTCCAGGGACTGCAGGTGGCCCCCATGCCCATCATAGGACAGCAGCAGGTTGTACATCTGGCAGGCAAAGGTCTTGTTGGGCTGGAAGACGAGGATGTGCAACACTGTGTTTCCTGGGGAGGACACCAGTGTCATGTGGCTGCTGGACCCTAGTCCCTGATGGTCCCCACGGTGGGCCTGACCATTGTCCCAGACCCTCCTCTTCCACCCAGGTCCTTTCCAAGTTTTTTCCACACTCCAGTGCTTACCCAGGGAGTCCTGGGCCCGGATGTTAGCTCCATGTTCAATGAGCAGACGCACGATCTCCTCACTGCCCACGCAGGCAGCAAAGGACAAAGGGTGCTCCCCTGGGGAGACAGAGGGCTCCATGGCATGAGTGCAGGCTGGGATGGGCACCTCCCCAGTGACTGCCTGTTCCTCCACACAGCTCAGCTCTAGACTTGGGAACACTTATCAGCAAAACCAGAGGCAGGGATGGTGCAGAGGCCCTGGGGGAATGGGCTCTGGCCTTAAGCCCTATAAGGGCTGACCCCAGTTCACCCCACCCCATCAGGCACAGAGCTCTCCTCATTCCATCCTCCCCTGGCTCTTGCCTGCCACCTACCTCCCCTTCCCCAGCTCTGGCTCTGGTTCTCACCAAAGTAGATGTGGTTGTGGGGGCTGAGGCGGAAAGCTGTTCCTGTAGCTCTGGCAGAGACGCTGGCCCCGTGGGCTAGCAGGGCTCGCACCAAATTCACATTCTGGTTCATGATGGCCATGTGCAGTGCAGTCTGACCTGGTTCAGAGAGAGCCCTCAGGCATGGGGGTCTGTCCCCATTTCTTCCAAAGGTTCACCATCTGCCTGGCTTGCAGGAGGTCCCTGACACATCCTTGAATAGATTTATGCCCTCAGCTCTGCAGACTGGGCTGTGACTGAGGGCAATTAGTCCCTCAGGCTGTTTACTGCATTATCCCTACCTCTTGGATTTTGGGGATAGGGCATAATTGCAATCACTCTAGTGTTGCTGTGAAGGAAATAGAGTCCTGTCCTTCAGGGAACATGAAAGGAATTGAGGGAAATAATAAATGGCTTGAGGAAGTCGTGGAAGCCAAGACCAGAACCTGTGTATTCTTCCCAACTCAGAGGCCCATGCGAACAGACCCTCCCCTACATGTTTCCATGAAGGCTCCTCACCTACAAATGGCTCACAGAGGGTGGACTCATAAACCAGCTCCGGGGCGGCCTCCATCAGCACCATGGCAGCCTCCAGGTTGTCATAGAGGGCCGCTATGTGCAGTGCTGTCTCTCCCAGGGCTCCTGGAGAAGAGTAAGACAGAGGCATCAAACCCTCCCCTCAGGGAACAGACCCCTTTGCAGAAACTCTGGGAGTTCTGGGCCAGAGGGGCCCCATCTCTATCACATTAAACTCTGAGCCCACCTCTTTGCCGTAAGTCGCAGCTTCTGTCTAGCAGAAGTTTCTTCAAGACACAAAGGTCATTGTCCTTGGCAGCCTGAAGTAGTGGAGATTCTTGAATCCTGGGAGAAAATGAACATGAGTGATGCAGAGACAGAATTGCAGTGAAGCTGAGAGCAGAGCCATTATATCACACTAGGTCTTCCCACACTGGGGGCCTGGGCTCATTGAGTAGGAGACTCAGCAGAGGCTTGTAGTGACCAGGGAAGGAGGGCCTGGGCTGCAGAGTGGGTGGCCGTGGTGGCCAGGAGAGGAGGTCATGAGGCCTGGCTGAATCCATCTAAGCTGTGTAAATGTTTCAGGAACCTGGGGAGCTGGAGCAGGTCAGGGAGATGGAACTTTGGTCCCCGGTTGACACCCTGGCCTGGGGAGTTTGCGAGATTAGAACTGGGCAGAGAGGATGAGGCAGGCCAGGTATGAGAGTCGTGTGTGTTTGTGAGTTGCTGAAGTTCTGATTACCCCTCTGGACTGTTTAGGTTCACATCCATGATGGGGGCAGGGAGAGTTTGGCGTGGGTTATGGAGAATCTATTCTGCGTGTTGCCCTCAAATTGAATGGTCTAAACACCCCTGTTGTAACTAAGGGGGAACACAACCTGGAGCTTCTCAGATAGTGCAGCTTGGAGTGCAGGGGGGCGGGGGCGGGGGAGGGAGTGCACCTGTGGAAAGGACCATCCCAGGGCACCTCTCTCAGCCAGCCTTTGTTTCCCCTTCCCGGATGAGCCAAATAAGAGACAAAACTGAAGCCCACCCTGCTGGGCAAGTCAGTATTAGCTGGCTGTGAAGATGACCACAGGGTCTGGCAGATTGAAAGTCATGAGGGAGAGACAAAAGGCAGACAAACTGACTGGTGACCATGATGTCTCTCAGTCCCAAATTCCTCTTCAGTGGCACCATGAGCCATTGGAAAGGGTGTTTTACTTAGTGAAGCAGCTTTTTTTTTTTTTCCTCAAGGCAGAGCTCAGGTCTGCCCTAATTTAAGGAGGCGCTCTCAGAAAGGGACCAGCAGAGAGAGGGACAGCCCCTGCCCCATCTCACCTGGGCCCTCAGTCCCAGCCGCAGCTCAGGGCGGCCAGGGCTAGGCTTCTAGAGTTCAGCTCTATGCTGCGGGCACTACACACAGCCTGTCGCCCGAAGCCTCTAGTCCACTGCCCCCTGCAGAGGGAAGGTCTGCCCTAATCCCAGTCCAAAGCAGGGACACAGGTGGGAGGCCAAAGGTTCCATTGCAGGGCCTGGGGTGGCTGCTGCTGAGCAAGCAGAGAGCCTTTCCTGGAATGAGGGTTCAGATTGCGCCCAAGCCCTGCTACACAATTTGCAAGGCCTGGGGCAAAATGAAAGTGCAGGACCCCTTGTTTAAAATATTATTAAGAATTTCCAGATGATAGCAGTGCATTAGAGTGCAGGGCTTTTCTGAAACCCAGAGCCCTGTGCAACTGTAGAGGTCACCTACCTGTGAAACTAGCCCTGGCTGGACCCCTGATCTGCCAGTGTGTGTTCAGCTCATTCCCCAAGCTCCCATGCTCTCCCATGGGAGACAACTCCTCCAAACACTCCGAGGCAGAGGCCCACCCACAAGATGGGTCCCTGCCCTGCCTGCGCTTCAGGAATCTGGACCTCGGGGCTAATTAGCCAAGATATGACCTGCCCCCTGGTGTATCAGCCCCACCTGCACTGAGTGTCCCAGAAGCAGACACAGGCTTTATCAACAGCTGTATTTCCAGTCCCCAGCACACCGCCGCACACGCCCCACTCAATAAAAGGCAAATGAACTGGTCACCAACTGATGGTCCGCGAACCACTGGTGATCCATGAGATCCAAAAGGTTGGTGACCGCTGACTGAACTGAGGACTCTCCAGTGTCACCTGGGTTTCCTTCCTTGGCTGTCAGCTCCAGGTGAACAAAGCTCTCCTCCTCTTTCCCACCAATCCATTTCCATTTCTACTAATGCTGATTCCTCCCTCTTTCTTCAACCCACAGGCTCTCATCCCTTCCCCAGCAACCTGCTCTCCACCAGCCTGCACCTGTCTGCAACCCCCCTAACATACTGGCTTCTTCCCTCTGGTCCCTCTTGTCCCCACCCTCTTCTCCCACCAGGTAGGCAGATGAGATCTCTGCCTCTAAATCTATGGAATCCACATCAAGGTTTCCCTGTGTGGCTCAACTCCATCCCCCACCCCTCACCACTGAGACGGGCAACTTGGGTTTTGTGACTATAACGGTAGGTTGGGAGAAAGGGCACATCCAAGTGTCTGGCGCTGAACTCTGGGGATAGACTGGAGTGGGCAGGAAGGTCTGTGGATCAGCGAGAGGTGAGACGCCATGTGACCGGACAGCTTACCTCTTCTGTTGCAGCATGTGGGCCTCATCCAGCTGCTGATCCCAGTCTTTCTCTCTGAACATCCATGAGGTCAGAAGTTTCTGGAGGTGGGTCCAGGGCCCTTTCACCTTGGGTGGAGGAGTCCCCATGTCTTCTCCTTGCAGGCAGGTGATGGGGCGTGGTGAAGAGGCAGGTCCAAGACTCAGCAGCTACTGAGGAAGTGGCCAGGTTTGCTTGGGGGTTGGGAGTGAGAATGATTGTATCTCCCGTGCTATTTGTATGTGCAGCCTGTGGTTGTGGGGTGTGTGTGTATGCATGTGCACTGGTGACTGGCTGCCCTGTCACGAGAGAGCAGCTTTACCTGGAAGGGGAGGAGCTGTTTCTAGAGTGAACCTCTGAGACACAGAGCCTGCCCTATAGCCAGGAGGCGAGAGGGGTGGGAACTTTGGCAGTGGGTTGGGGCTGAGACCTGGACAGGTGAGGGGCGGGGCAGAGCACTCTGAATGGGGAGCAAGGTGAAAGACCTAGAAGCTGGCTCCCACAAGCAAGGTGAGCAGTCAGTGGGATGCAGGTGATCAGGAAATCATGTCCTCCAGCTGGGCTATCAGCCTGGTTTGAATCCTGGCTCTCTCAGCCCTTGCAAATCAGTTAGGTGAGCTTTCTGTGCCTCAGTCTGCTACTCTGTAAAATGGCGGGGAGCACCTCTGCTCTCTCATGGAAGCGGCTGTAAAGCATGATCCTAAGAACTCAAGGATGTTGATTCTCCTTCAGAGATGAGCTTAGAAGCCCCTGGGGCTGCTTCCCTGAGTGGTGGTCATCTCTGTCCTCAACCCTGCAGCCCTGACTCACAAAAGGGGTCCAGGCCACCCTCCTCTGTGAGAAACTCAGGGTGACTCCTCTTCTCTTCCAGTTACTTGGAGCCCCCATCAGAGGAGACCTTCAGAGGGCTTTGTGTTTTCACAGCAGGAAGCGAGGCAGGTGAAGGAGGTAGACCCACCCACCTTTGGGTCCCTCTCTGGGAATGAGACAGCAGGAGGAAAGAGTAAGCCAAACTGTCTGATAGGGCAGTTTCTATTTCTCCTCCTGATTGTTTTCAAAGCAGTATATACCCACGACTGAACTATAGTCATTCAATAGCCCTAAGAGGTAGGTGGGAATAGGAAAGGTCCTCTTTATTTCATAAGTGAGAAGACCAAGACGGAGCCCAGACGGGAAGTGTGAGTACCCACAGCAAGTAGCAAAACTGGAACTGGCTTTAAAGTTGAAACCTTAGCTCCAGATCACATGCCAGACCTTGTTGCTTCTTAGGAAACTTCTGCCTATAAAGATGTGAGAGATCTGAGTGGAGATAGTCAGGGGACCCTCCCCCTTGGGGGTCTCCAGGAGCAGGGAAATGCTCCCTTCTTTTGCGTAACAATGAAGGTGTTTTTTCTAGCAGTTGCAAGGTGGACAACACAACCTTTAGAGTAGGGCAGGAGTTGAAAGGAAAATAAAAAAGGCAAGAAAGAGTAGATGCCGGAGACAAGGAGAAACCATGCTCTCACCCTGGGGAGGGGGAGGTGCGGGCTGGTTAAGGGGAGGGAGTCACCTTGTGGGACATTTTTCTGCTGCGCTGGGGGTTAGGCAGGGTGAGGTGGTAATAGCCTCTGAAGCCTTGGGATTAGTCTAAGGAGATGGAGACAGCGATAAGGTTGAGGTGGGGGTTGTAGATGAGCTGATAAGCAGGGGCAGGCACAGGAAAGCAGCACCCAGCCTATAAAGCTAATCTTGGAGGGGGTGGGAGAGGGCAGGCCCGGTCAGAGCCGCATGGAGCAGGTGCACAGGGTCTCTCACCAAGGGCAGTGTCCTTGGGTCAGTGAGGAGAAAGGGAGGCAGGCTCTTCACTTTCTCACTTGCCCTTCTGCGCCTGCACTGTGCTCTCCAGTGGGAGGGGCAGGTACCAGCAGCCTGAGGGAACCAGGTTGTCCTGAGGCAAGATGTAAAGAAGCTAGGAAAATTCCTTGGCAAGTGGAGTAGGGAAACTGAGATAGATAATTAAACAGCAGTTTGCAGCCATCTAGTAAATCCTATCTTCTCTAAACCAAGGATACTTAGAAGTAAATGGTTTGGTCCTGGCTGCTGTGGCTCAGTTGGTTGGGTGTCATCCCATGCACCAAAAGGTTGCTGGTTTGATTTCTGGTCAGGGCAGCCGATCAATGTTTTGCTCTCATATCAATGTTTCTCTCTTTTTCCCTATCCCTTCCTCTCTCTCTAAAAACCAATAAAAAAATCTTAAAAAAAAAAAAAAGAGTAAATGGTTTGCACTTCTCCCCAACCAGAGCTTAAATCACTCTACTCGGGGATACAGATAACAGAAATCCAATGAGAGCCATTTGTCAACCACACCCAAGGACAGATGAATTTAAGGGAATAAATCTCATTTTGGAACATCAGCATAGAACTGATGAATATTCTATTGAGATCCTCCACTACGACCTTCCCTAAACTCCCACTCTTTAAAACCCCTCAAAACGAAGGTCCCAGTTCTTGCTCTCTCCCAGGAACACACCCACACCTTTTCCCTCCCTTCCCTCTCTTCTTTCCCCACAGGTGTTCATTGCCTAAACTAAGAGACCCCATGAGGCTTGCAACCAGGGAAGCCATGGGCAGTAGCAGCTCCTCCTGGGTTAGCCCTCTGACCCTGTCCTCAAGGCCCCCTTTCTCTGACTTCCCAGTGAGTGAAAGCGGCCCCACCTAGGCTAATGTTTCCCACCTAGGCCCGCTCCTGTCACTTCTTCTATGCTAAGCCCTTCTTGTGTTTCACTGTCCTGAGCTTTAATAGCATACTTTCAAAAATCACCTGGACTCCTGTTGTGGAATCTTCCCTGCACCAAGTCAAGAGTCCACACACTACCAGCCGGCCCTAGGCAGACCTGCTCCAGGCCAGGTCCCCTTTCCAGTAACAGTCCCACCTGTCCCCGGGGTAGACTAGAGATTTGGAAACTGTTTTCTAATCTTTAAGGAGTTCTCTCTTCTCTTTTCCAGCTTTCTTCCCCACTACTCCTTCACCTCTGTCATCTACCATATCACTACACTTTCTGTCCCTTTTCTCCTCTCATTCTTCTGCATGCTTTCTCAGCTTTCTGGGGCCAAAGACACCCACAGCCTCTCTCCCTCAGGCGGCAGCTTCAACCCTATGATGATGCCTCGATGTCCATCGTGACTCTGTAATGCCTTCCAGGTGCCCAGGAGGAGCAGGTAAGAGCAATGTCAGGGCCCAGAGCCGGTTGGTACCAAAGCAGCCAACCCCTTATTCTGATGCAATAAGGAGGACCACACATGATACCTGGATTTTAATTGATAGGAAATATACTCCTACCCACATGCCCACAGCCACATAGGGAAAGGATTTGAATACCATACTTGAAAACATTAATAGTGATGCCCACTGGAGGGTGGAACTATTTTCCCTTTTTGTTTTTCATATTTCTTAAATAGTTCTTATTAAGAAAACAAAATTTAAGGGATTCTTGGTTCCTTCAAGGATATATTCTTTTCAGATGGGAAGCTGGGAAGGAGGGTGGTCATTATAACCAGATTCTTTCCACTCCTTCCTCTTCTGCGAGACGCTCTCCACCACAGCTTCCTTCCCCATTTATGCTCACGAGCTGGGGATAGCTTCTTTTTTGGCCAGGAACCAAGAGGCTCCGTCCTCCAAATAGCCAGGAGGACATTAGTGATTTTTTTTTTTACCCAAGCATCGTTCCCTGGACCTGCAAGTCAATGAGTTCAAGGTAGGAATGAGCAGGGTCACCTGCTTACTTTAATCTTTCCACCCCCACTGTCAAGTTACCTCCTGTACCATTCCTCAGTCACCGAGTCACCTGGCTTGGATCACCAGGAAGTACATGAAGTAGGCAATATGGGTAACATCTGTAGAAAGAAATTTGAACATGCAATCCCCTCTCCCAGAAAGGTGCGTGCTTCTGCACACATCCTTACCCCTGCATTTGGTGGTTCATTCAGATGTGGAATGCATGGGCACCAGGAGTGATGTGGGCTCATTGGGATAGATCAAATGTGTCTAGAATCTTCTCCCACTCATCCCCATCTGCGTGCCTCTCCTGTATCTCATGACCTATATCTGTTCTGGTTTTCAGAACAGCCCTCCATACTGTCTCCCCCATCTTACCCCACCCCGCTCCACCCCACCCCAACTCACCCTTAACCATCGTCTCTGTCCCAAGAAGCAGATGAAAATTAGCCACAGCCAGTTACTGCCAACAGGCATGTGCTCACCAGGTTCAAGGGCAGGGTGGGCAGTGGGCTGCTGAGGCAGGTTTCTTGAGATCTGTTAGGTGGGCTCCTTGTCTCTCTGCCACATTGCTTCTTCTCTGAGGACTCTACCTCCTTCTACCAAGTAAGAAGTTTAGTGAATGAGCCTCTAACAAAGTTTTCTCTGTGACTAAAAGTACAAGAGGATGTACAATGAGAGAAAGGGCTGTTCCAGTCTATCAGTACAAGAGGGCAAAGTCTAGGCATGAGGACAGTTAGGGGAGGAGGAGGAAGGAGAGAATAGGTTCGACTTAGGCCCAAGACACCCTGCATTCTGTCTGTCCTATTTCCCTCTGTGTCTGTCTCTCTTTCTTTTTCTTTCTGTCTCTCTCTCTCTCTCTTACACACACACACACACACACACACACACACACACACACACAGCCCAGATGGACCCTTTTTCCACCCTCTACTTCTCCCCCTCCACTTCTCTCATTTTCAATGGACCTGAGTTTTAAGTACAGCCCAGAACTTGAGGATCCTTATTTCAGGCATCTGGTCTCAGCCCATCCTATGCAAGCCACTTTCCTTTGAGAAAGGCTGCATGGAAGAGTGGGAAGCTGTGACATTTAGAATCAAAAGAATTAATCAACAATCCCACTCTGCCCCTTATTTTCTCTGTGATCGTGAGTGGGTGAGTCATTTTTTTTGTGAACCTCAGTAGCCTTATCTATAAAATGGGATGATGACACTATTCCTTTGAGACCTGGCTGCTGTAAGGATGTAATGGATGTGAAAGCAGTTCGCAAACTCTTAAGTCATCTGTATTGATCTCCATAGTCATGCTCGAAGGCTTGGTCGTCCCCTGCTGAATACTCTCCACTCTCTTGCTTAGTGATGGAACTCTCTAGTGAGCTGGAATGAGTCATCTCATGGCTGTGATATCACAGAGCTCATGAGGTCAGAGGTCCTATAGAAGGGAAGGGAATAAAACGGTGCTGGGAAGGGGTAAGGGGTGGGACAAGGACAGGGGAGGGAGGTGGCAGGGAGCCTGCTGGGCACTGGGAGTGGGGAAGGCCACAACAGTGGATGGGCAGACCCATGACTTCCCTGGGCTCCCAGCTCCTCAGAGCAGCATTACTGGCAGCCATCCTACTTCTGCTGTGGGTGAAGGGGGTGAAGCCTCAGGGAGGGAGCCCAGGCCCCAATGAGAGGAGTCAGAAAGAACAAATGCCCTCTAAAGGTAAGTAGAAAAGGAGGGCAACCTCAGGAGGCTAGGTTTGCAGGTCTGTTTGTAATCACTCCCAGATGACTTATCAGGCCAGAGAGAAATCTGAGATAGGTTTGGGTTGTGGGAGAATACCCAGGTCCCCTACTATTGTAGTGTGAGGGTGTCATGTGAAAGGGTCTCGAGCAGGGGAGAGCACTATTCAGGGGAATACTCCAGGCCAGTGGAAATTGCATGGAGCTTTCATGAGTATGAGCATACATGCATTTGTGTGGGAAGAGGATCTTTGGTTTTCATTCTTTTTAAGGTGGTCCCTCACTCCCAAATGATGTAACACTTTGGAGGACACAGCTGAGTTGGAAATGGGGTGTTTGTGCTCTTGGGCTGGAGCTGTGGTTTCACACAGACCAGAAGTGACCCCCAGATGGAGCATCACCTCTCCGGTCAAGGACAAGGATATGGATAACTGAGTTAAAAGTCCCAGGACCTAACTTTCCCCATATTCTCCAACTTCTTCCCCTTTCCTGTACAGGGACAGGTTAGGATTGGTGTTTCATTCCCTTCCCCCTCTTCCCTGTTCCAGACCAAAATCAAGAGCAGTTCGAAGAGTACTTTGTGGCCTCCTCAGTGGGTGAGATGTGGCAGGAGGTGAACATGGCCCAACAAGAGGATGAAAAGACATCGGAGATGGAGAACACAGCTGTTCGTGACCACCTATTCGACCTAGCCTTGTGCTTTAATGTGGCCAGTGTTTTGGTTTTTTTATAAGAGACATTGAAGATGAGGTGGCAGCCTTTTTCCTGGATGAGGACCTGGATATCTACCTCGGCTTCATGATAGCTTACTGACCCTTTCTCCCCTGGGCGTTAGGTCACTATTCCCAGGGAGACGTACACACAGTGTCCTGCCCCTTGTCTGCCCCTGCTATGAGCTCCATCCCTCAGGGCCCGATACACCAGACCCATGCTCTTCTCTCTTCCATGCCCCTACTGGCTTTGTTCAGCACAGCAGATTAGGGGGAGGAGATAGCTACAATAAAAGTAATAGCAATAAAATCCTGAAACAATTGGGGGCCAGATTCCTGAGACTTAACCAAAGCCCTCCTATCTCGAATTAGTCTGTTTAATCACCCAACATCTGACCTTTAGACCTACCAGTTCACCAATCATTGGTTCTTTCCTTTTCCCATGTCTGTGAACTCTGCTTCAAAGTTTCTCCTTTATCTTTTCTGACTTTTAGGCAGTGCAAATCAGGAAAGAGTCATTAAGAGACAGGCAGAAGCCAAGTGCCAGATTTTATTTTTGGAAAAGAAGAGAGGAGACATCACCCTGATTCCATGGATGGGGCAGGGAGATATTGATATATGTGCATTGAGGTCTCTTTGGTAGCCAGGTTACCAGAGTTGGCAGCGTTCTGAGGGGTTCAGGAGGGCACCACGTGGACAGTGGAAATGTCTAGCAAAAGCTGGAATGTTGCTGAGGGGCCCATGGACTCGAAGGGTGGGAGGGCTGTGAGTGTCCTGAGAATCCTGTGTGCTGAGCTTGCTACACATCACCTGGGAAGGAAGAGAGGTTCACAGAGGGTAAGGAGAAAAACAAGGTAGATAAGGGTCAGTAGGCAAGACCTAGTGACGAGGTGGTACAAGGAACAGCAGACAAAGGTCAAGAAGGGATGGGAATGACCAAGGGCCATGAGGAAAGAGGAAGAGCATTTTCCAGTTGTAGGTCATTTAACCTGGCACTAGGCATTCAGGGGAGGGCCCCAGCTGTGGAATCAGACCACTTGTACGTGACTGAGAGGTGGGGTCTATTGGAAGAACTCTGTGACAAGGTCTTTAGGTATATTGAGAAATTGGGGGCAACGTCTATTGAGGGAACACATGGTACTGAGGGCTCAAACTTAGGGGTGAGGTCTTTGAAGAGAAATGTAGTCTATAGACAGTTTGTTAAGATTTGTTTTTCATGGGTTTATATTTTCAGAAGAAGAAATAAGAGGGGGGAAAAGTTGAGCTCATCCCGGGAGGGATTTGAAAGTAGAGATTTTTTGTTAGTTTTTTGAAGGACATGCTAAATTTGGCAGAAGAATTTGTGATAACATGAAAGGATGGGCCCAAGGGGACATGTGTGAAAGAACATCTGTGGCAATGGTGGGAGCATTTGGGGAAATGCATATCAGGAGGTAGAGATTCTTTAAGCTTTACCAATAGGGTATTTATCTGATGTGGAGCAAGCCATGGTGGGAGATGGCGGCCACCTACCTGGGCATAGCTTCGGAAGAAGAGTTGCTGGGGGGTGAGGCCTAGGTTGGGCAGGGTGGTCTCCCCACGGTGCCATAATAGCATCTTGTTGTATGCCTAGATATGGAGGTGGGATGGAGAGTAACCCTTAGGCTCCAAACCTGTGCCATTTGGAAGTCTGATGCCCTATACACAAACCCCCAAACCAGTTCATGGTCCCCTTTCCCAAGTTTTGCACAGACACACAGGTCTGAGCCAGGAGAAATGTACTTGTGAGAAAATGTATAGTTATCCTAGAAAAGAGGGAATCTATTAGGTAGGAGGGGGATCCCCAAGTGGCCACTGTTCAGTGGGTGTATGATGGGCAGAAAGCTTTGCAACTATGTCTGCATGAGGGATGTCTGTTTTGCTAGTGAAAAGAGATTCTGACCTTTGGGATGTGAATTACCTGCAGTGCCATTGCCAACGCCCCCATGTCTGCAGCATTCTCCAGTACCCTGTGGGAGCTATTGAAGGAAGTTACACCGTATAATGGAAAGGCAGCATAGTGGCGCTCCAGACACAGCAGCGCCCCCTCTAGGGCATGGGTATCACAGGCTGGGCAGCCCCCAGGGAGTACTGTTGAAAATAGGGCAAGAGAATAGAATGTTGAGGCATGGTGCAGGGGTGAGGACATGGGGGTACCACAGGCTGGGCTGGCTCCCAGGAGTATTGCAAAGGCTCAGGACTATCCCACCCAGAGCCCTCACATACCCTCCCTTTCTCCTCCTCTAGGCCTCTTTTGGAGCCTTCACCTGGGTTCTCAATGACCCCACCTCCCAATGGCCCACTGATACCCACAGAGCTGGTCAAAGATGTGCAACAGCTCCCGGGCCATGATGCTGCCAGCAGCGCCAAAGTTCACGGCCCTAAAGAGACAGGACTTATCTTATCCCCAGAATCCTTTGACATTTTTAACCCTAATCCTCCAACCACAAGTCCCATCCATTGCCACCCCCCACCCCAACCCCCCACAGCTGCCCATCACTTTTAGGAAACTTCCTGCCCACACTCATGGAATGGCCCTTACCTGGGGTAGGCAGGATGGAAGAATGGTGGTTGGAGGAGTCCAGCTGGGAAGACCACTACATGGTCAGTTATTGAATAGTAAGCATCGACCCTCCAGGGGGACACCTGCCACCTGTGGGATGAGCACATATGAATACCAGCTCCATCAAGACATATGTAGTTGCCCCCAACTACTGTCACTGTTCCTGTTTCCCTGAGGCCCTAGCTTGCTCTCTTGCTAATCATGGATGTCTATCTCTGGGATGCAGTGTCTGTATCTACTTTGCTCTCATACCTGTGGTGGAGAAAAGGCTGCAAGGAGCTATGGACAATTCTAGCTTGGCGGGATCGAATACCACTCAGGAAGGACTGCAGGAAGCTGGGTCCGAGGTGTACCTGGGAGGAGCCAAGAGGTGACGAGTGTACATCCACACTGAAATACCCTGATGGCTACATTTGAACCCAGACAGATTAGCCCTACACACAGACATCCCCAGTACAGTGGAAACCAGTGCACCACCACCACACCACACATGGGCTAGACAGGCTTCACATGTGTCGGCACACAGATAAACACCCTCAGGCAAGTCACAAGAATGCACATGTGCACATGTGCACACACACATTATGACCTGAAAAGGTTCCATTCATCTGCTGGCAAGACCCACAGTATCTTGCCCATAAAGTCCAGCCTGCAGGAGGGCACGAAGGGATTGGTTCAGATCACCCAAGGAAAATAGATTATCTGCCATTTGGGTGGGTCAGGGGGTGAAGAAGTTGAAGACTAAGGCGGAGCTGTCAAGGGCAGGAACCCACATCACTGTATTTCTGTCTGGCCAGCGCTGGTTCCCATTCTGGGCCCCCCATCTTCACCTGCAGCTGGGTGACCTGGGGAGAGACACAGGTAGAAGGAACCTAGCTACCCTGAGCTATCAAAGGGAAGTTCTCCTGCTCATTGCCCTGTTCCCACCTTCCCTGTTGTCACTAGGGTATGGGTACCACATGTTGGTGTACCCTTGTGCCTTGGGTGCTCTCCTCCTGCCTCTGTGATCTCTTGATCCAATACTCAATCCCACCCCCCAGCCCTGCACATAATTAACCTGTCTCTTTCCCCTGGCCTCACCCTGTCCTGGGCCTTTTTCCGGGTTTCCTCATCCATCCAGGGAACCCTTCTGAGGCGGGTGATGAGGGCATCCTTGATGGCAGTGAATAAGTCCATGGCCTGTGGGTGTGAGGGGGCAGGGACAGAGAAACAGGATGAGGACCAGTCTTGGTCTTGGGCCTTGGCCCTGAGGAGCTGCCAGAGAAAGGGGAATATATCAGGAAGAGAGTAGAAAGTGGTATTCCCTAGTGGCCAAAAACCCAGAAAGATCTGTGGAGACAGAAAGGGAAAGTGGGAGCTGGCCACTCCTGAGGGTCGACAGGGGAGACTATGTCTTTTTGTGGGGAGAGTTCCCCCTGCCAAAGGAGGGAGACCCCATCCTTACTCTGGGCCAGGCAATCCACTCAGAAAGTAGAGGGAGAATGAGGACTATCTCTGTTCTCAAGGACTCTTGTCCTCACACACACACCCCTTTTTTTCCTCACACCTTCTTTCTTAAGGCATGCTTTTCCTCTTTCCATCTTCCTGGGGGCTTCAGCATCCCAACAAGTTGAAGTCGCCCTAGCTTTACAACCTGATTATAGAGTTATTGCCATTTACCATCTCATGTATATCTTTTCTTAATGAAGGAAAATGGACGACAGTATCGGAACCTGAGTTCAAGTCCTGACTCTGTTGTTTGGTAGCTTGGGAAAGCCTTTCTGTGCTTCAGTTCTTAAAGTAACAGAATGATGCTTGTACTTAAAGTAGTTCAAAGGAAGTTCTTACAAGAGTACCAGGCACATGATAGGCACTCAAAAAGTATTCAGTAGTTATTTATTTTCACTTCTAGAGATTGTATCAATCCATTCTCATGTCATTTCACCTGTTGTTAAAAAATCATAAACAAGGAGTAGCCTTAGAGGTCATGGAGTTCAGTTTTCTCATTTTCTGGTTGAGGAAACACAAGAGCAGGAAAGTTGGGTGACTTGTTCGAGTTAGTGCATGTTGTGTACCCTTTATGTCTCATAGCTAAACTATGCAAACCCTGGGGACATAGCACGAGGCATTCTCTCTCTGATATATGTGGACAGTGGGTTCTCTCTCTGTGACTGCCTGACTCCTTAAATACACAAACCATAGAGAAGGACACAGTCAATAGAAATAGGAGAGGATATGTTGGGTGGGGAGGGGTGGAGGGACATAGGCTGGGGAAGAGCCCTCACATACAGCACTTCGGGTGCTTGGGCTGAAGGCCTCACGAACAAACAAGGCTGCCAGGGTAGGCTCAAAGAAGTCTCCAGTATCCTCCACGCACTTCATCCATCGAGGGTGGGCGGGCTACAGAGACAAAGTTAGAATGAGAGGTTCCCATCCAGGGTCTTCCTCGTCTGTTTTCCCAAGCCAATCTTGTCTAGTCCTCTTCCCAACAGAGACTGTACTCTTTCTGAACATTCTGGGTTTGTCTCACTTTATTCTGTTATGCCTTTTGGTGGTATACATGGGTTCATTGCTGTTTAGCTAACCCAGGCTTAATTCTCCAAGATTAATCTCAGAAGCCTGGGTTGGGCAAATCATCTTGTTTATTGCCTACTGAATTTGAAAGCAAGGCCTCTGGGAGGTATCCTTATGAATAATGGAAAGGCTCCTGGAAAGGAGAGGACTAGATACCAAACCTCTCAGGTCCCTTGGCCATCCTGTCCCCACCTACCACAGGCACTGCTCTGGAAACCCAACAATGACTCCCCTTCCCACATTTCTTTGCTTAAAATGCAAATTAGAGGTCATTTCTCCCTCCCATCCACAACCCTCCCCACTCTCCAAATGGTTATCATGAATCATATGGCAAGATCTTGTCTTATAAAGAAGAAAATCATCAGAGTAAAATTATTGGGGTTCAGATGCCATACTATTGCCTGGTAGGAGAACAGTACTGAAGAGAAGATTAAAGATGTGAGTTCAGAAAGCTAAGAAACCTGCAGCCAAAGCCACATAAAATGAAGATAAAATAGGATGAGATAGGGGACATCTTCAACCTCAAAGGCAGAGAGATGGTTAGACAAAAACTCAAGAGACCTTTGGAAGCTGGGTTGATTTTTAACAGTAGGACAGAAAGAATAAGAAAAAGAGTGATGCTGGGGAGGTTTTGATGGTGGGCTTGAATGGTTTTGAAAAAGTTGACCAAGAGGAAGGCCCAGAGATGACTTAGGGCAGACTGCGAAACGCGGCCAATGGCCTAAGGGAAAGCTGAGATGGGACTTTGAAAAACCAGCTAATATACTAATTTAAGCGGGGTGAAGTCACAAGATTTCATTCCTGTAACTTATTTACTCCCCTTAAATTTCCTCTTAGGCTGCCTCTAAGCTCTCTGGCCCTAAGACTGGAGAGAGTTTATGGGGCTCCCACAAAAGAAGGACCAGAAAAAGAAAGCCAGTATTGTCTTCAGTGAAGAAGAAAGTCTTGAGCCTGGCTGTTAGGACATTTATCATTTTTGAGGTGGCTCCAGACCTGGTTGCCCACATTGTGTATTCTTGTCCCCTCGCTATGAGACCTGCTAAGGACCTTGTGAGGAGAAGGCACTCAGACACTTTCTCTAGTGTATTAGTTGGAGTGCTGAAACACAAATTTGAAAAGCAAACACAAGTGGAAAGGAAACCTGGGTCTGATAGTGAAATGACTGGGTCAAGTGCAGGCTCTTCTGGCCATCTTCAAGGACCATCCCCCTCAGGCCTCCCTATGTCAAGCTTTGTTTGGAGTGACAGCTGGCACAGCAGCCAACAGCACTGGCCTTGTGCTTGGTGGTGCCTCCCCTTTTCATATCTCCTGGTTCTTGACTTATTCCCTGATCCCTTTCTCTGGTGCCTGCTCCTTTCTCTAACAGCCTTTGCCTGCTCCATGCCTGTCTCCATATCCTGGGCCATGGCAGGCCTGACCTGATTCCTGGAGAGTATAGATGCCACCTCAGACTACCCATTGCTCACCCCTGTGCAACTCTGGGAATCATTAAACTGACCACTTTTTAACACTTGGAAAATAATGTGCAGTGACTAAGGGCTAACGTAGGATCACTGAGCACAAACAAGGTCAAAATAATAGGGATTTCTGTGGTTAACAGGAATCACGCGAGGACATACTTCAAACCAGGAGTCACAAACTCAAATAGGGGCCATGAGGCGACATAACTGAGAGAAGCTATCCAACATCAGAACCACAGGACATGGAGGGGCGATGGCAAATAGGAGAGAACACATCCAGTCTGGGCTGAACTACAGTCAGCTGTTGCCCTGGAGAAGGCAAGCCCAGCAATACACAAACTTCATGTTTACAACAAAGGGCTAAAAATCAGATTACTGGCATGCCATCTCCTAATTTTTGAATGTTGATGATGAATTAAAGGTCTATAAAAAGCTTTAAAGACCAACAAAACACATTGATAGGTTAGATGCATCCTCTAGGAACGCCTCAATACCTCTTCCACACAGAGAATTCAGTATTTACTAAATGTTGATGTTTAACTTAAATCTTGGTACTTCAGATACACCAGCTATAAAAGTGAGAATGGCTATCTGTTCCAAGTTTATTACAGAGTTGTTTAAAAGATGAAGTGAAAGAATCCATTGAAAACACTCTGTAAATTCTAAGCTGTTGCCCTACTAGCATTATTTTGATTTCAAGGAGGCAGGCATTTGGTAAAACCACAAATTAAATCCTTGAGAATTAGATTGGAGAAATCTATGTTGGATGATTTGAGTGGATTCTCAGCTGGCTGAACTATAACAAAACATTGAAAATTAATGACTCCAAGTTTGTATGAGCTTCCCTGACCAGGACTACTGAAAAATCTTTCTTCATCCATTAGAATATAAGTGTCTGAGGGCAGAGATTCTTGTCTCTTTTGTTCACTGCAGTCTAAAGTTCCTAGAGAAGGGTCTTGTACCTAGCAGGTGCTCAATAAATATTTGCCGCGTAAATGAATGGATGGATCTATAGCCAGGTCTTCAACAGCCTGACCCAATGCTCTTTCTTTTTCAAGATCTTAACAGTAATCTAGATGAAGATAGACTATAGAATGCAAATGACCCAAGGTGGGGGGGAAAGAAGGTAATATAATGAATGATTGGGAAAAAAAGGATGAAATTACCTGAGTACATTGGGAAGCTGGGCTGAATATAAACAGTTCACATTTACAGGTACAAATGTAAAGTCCTACTTTTACTTCCCCAAATTCAGCTTCTCAAATATAATAAAACCTGGATTAATAGCCATTTTTTGACTATATATTCAAAATTCATCAACAAAATATGTTCATATAATGAGACCTAGCAGTCTTTCTAAATAAGGACACTATAAAATAGAATGCATTCAGAGGAATATAGTCAGAAATTTGTACTTAATAACCATAGAACAGAATCATAAATCAGGTCAAATTAAGGCTTAAATCTTGGTAGTGTCTTTGACTTATACCACACATTTGTCAGGAAACCCTGTTGCTTAATTTCAAATTACATTCTTTCAAAAGAGGGGTGGGAAACATCTGGCAAGTGAAATCATTTGGTCTGGCCCTGCCAAGGGATTAGGAGTGAGTTAATTAAATGTTTGACCAAATATAGAAGGCTACTTTTTTTCCCCTTCCTTTTTAGTTTTAAAAAAAAATTAAGGCTAATTTTTAAGTTGGTAATTTTGTATGGCCCATGAATGATGTTATAAATATCCAAATGGCCCTTGGCAGAAAAAAAGGTTCCTCACCCCTGTTTTAAAACATAAAACAAATAAATCCTATAGGCCCCCTTTTCACGCAGAGAAAAGCCAAAGTCTCTACAGTGACCTACCAGGCCCTATATGCTCTCTGAACTCCTCCCTACTGTTATCTCATTTGCATTCTCTGTTTCAGTTGCACTGGCTCCTTGCTGATCCTCAAACTCTTGGGCATGCTTCCCAAGCAGCAGGCATAGCCCAGCCTGCTTTTCTCAGCCAGAGCCACCAGGAGGATCTGTCGTATTATACCACATTTTAGCCAGCCTATCCCATGCATTGTCTCAATGAAATAATAGTCCTTTCTTTGCCAGAAAACTTCAGTTCTCTAGACCCTATTTCTATCCTTCCTCTTGTGTGGAGATCTCACTCTTCTGTCAAACCAACCCAGGTCTCTCCCTGTTGGGAACTCCAGGAGTATCTGTTGTCTAAACCAGAGTTTCCTTGGAATGAAACTACGTCCTTTCATTTATTTGTTGTACAAGAACAGAGTTAAGTGGTTGCAACACAGACCTTATGGACCACAAAGCCAAAAATTTTACTCTCTTGACCTTTATAGAAAGAACCCATTTTCTGTACCACCCACTTATTTCTCAATTCTGCACAGTATGTGGTTAAAAACATGGCCCTATGAGCCAAGCACATTGTTTTGGTGTCTGTTCCTTTATTTATGAGCTGTGTGGTCTTATAAAAGGTATTTGTTCTTTCTGAGGTCCTCTGAGTGTTTCTGGGAGGATTAAATAAAACAATTTATGCTAAAAGTTGCATGCAATGAAACTACAAAACAGTAGGTACACACTGTGTTCAGCTGTTATTATTATGTGTCATAATTGGTACTGTTGCTTCCCCAAAGCTACACAACCATTTGTTGGTAGAGCTTCATTCAGCTTTCAGCCCCCAAACAACTATATACCAGAAGGAACCTACTTGGGGTCTTAAGTGAAAGTACTAAGAAGAAGAGTTTTTGTTTTGTTTCTGTTTTGTGTTTTGTTTTGTTGTTTTTAGCACAATGATTAATCACAGAAACTCTGGAGTCAGACTGATAGAGTTCAAATCCTAGCTCTATCGACTTACTCAGTGTACTACCTTGATCAAGTTTATTTTGTGCCTAGATTTCCCTGTCTATAAAACAGAGACGAAATGGTGCATCTAACTCATGGAAAACTTGTGAAGATTAAACCAGCTCATATATCTAAAGGATTTAGAAAAATGTCTAGCACATTTATAAATTCTCAATAAACAATAAATATACTCCAGTACCATGTGCATACATCTTCCCTCTTTGAATTCCACAGGTATTTCAGGTTGCCAAAGCAGTGATTTTCTTCAAGGCAGAGAAATGGTTCATAAATTACTAAGAAAAACCCCACAAAAGTGCAGTAATTTTCAAGACTAAACTGAGGCCTTTGCAGAGGTTAAGGTGTCTCTAACATACTAGATACCTCCACTTGCATTTGGATGTGTCCAATCCAGATTTCAAAGTTATCTGTAAAGAAGTGTCTCCACATCTTATTTAACACAGTAGACTTTGATTAGTGAAGTGTGTTTGCTATGCAGTCCCTTCCTCAGATACATCAGGATTTGCACCAAGAAGCCCATAGTGTGACCCAATAGATACCACTGGATGTCAGAGATTAATTATTTGTGAAGAATATGAGCACCAAACACTAGAATCACCAGGCAAAGGAAAAGCCACTACTAGCTACATCTGTCTCTCATCCCGTCCTCAAGTCACAGAGTTCAGGATAGTTAGGAAAATAGTTTAAGGGTCATGACAAAGGAAAAGCAGTTCTTGATAATTTTAGAGCTCTATATTCAAACTTTAATACTCAGCAAAAGGCCATAGGCATAGACATAGCCAGATGTGCCTAAAAGGTCTGTTACTTGGTACCTCAATTCTCAAGGTAAGCCTTGCATGCCAAACCTATCTGCTTCCATGGAAAGCCCAGACATTGAGAGGCATCTACTCTTATGTCCCCTACCTGAGAGGAATAGGCCAGAATTTACCCCTCAAAATGACAGATGCTCCTTTAGCCCCCATTCTGGGACAATTTATGCCCTCCTGTCCTCACCACAGGTGGCCGTTCCGTCAGCTCCCACAGTTTCTGGTTCAGGGATCTGTGTGCCTCCTCGAATTTACTGTCCAGGGCTGGAGAAAGGGTCCCCACCAGCCCAAAGATCATGTGGCTCTGCAGAAAGTCCCTGTGGAGAGAAAAGAGACCCACACACTTCATGGCTCTGGTGACCCCTCATGCAAAGTCGTCCCTTGCATAAGTCACCTGGATCCTGGGAGAAGCCTCTTCCCTCTGTATTTATAGAGAAGAACTGTTTGACAGTGAAAGAGTGAAGGAGCGATTTTCTCGGTTTGGGTTGGAGTGGGGTTGAAGAATGATGAAACAAAGAACTAGATGAAGAGGCAGACTTCTCAAGTCACAGGGAGAGAAAGATCTGGACTAGATGAAGACTGGACTTAGATTTCACAAAACTGATTCATCTACTTCTATGACCAAGATCTCTCTCATCTTAAGATGTATCTTCTAAGCACAACAAAGCTGGGATCAGGGACCTTTAGTTGCCCTGATGGCAACTCTCTTACAGGTTTGATTTGTGCCTTTACGTAAATCTGCTCATACCCACATGAATGCTTGTCTGTTTCCCTCAGAAAGCATCTCTAGATGTTGCTGCCACTGAGTTACTATGAAGAAGGGCCCAAATCCTTGGAAGAAGCCCCTTTAGTTGGTGGCCACACAAGTATCAGGGATGGAGGAAGGCCCAACACAGAGCCTCACCTTCATGTCCCCCACCTTCTTCGACTTCCTGATCTTTCCCATAAGGCCTCCACATATGAGAAATGGCCTCTGCCTCAGCTTTTCCCCCAGAACAGCCCAACCATTATCTCCTCCATCCAATCCTCTCATATGCCTCCTCCTCCCACCCACACTCATCAGCAACTGATGAGACACATGGCCAAGCTAACCCCATGACTTGCCTTCCAAAATCTCCTACAACTCAGAGGCTCTTCACAGGCTTGGTTCTACTCCAGCAAATATTGTGTCTTGCCAGACACTGATATCCCTCATTTCATGTGTGTTTTTCCTTCCCCAAGCCTCTCGTCTTTCCTCCATTTTATCTTGGGCTGTCAACCCCAACCCTTCTCTGTCCCATGTGTCTGTGAATCCCTCCCATCTTCCTGGGAGGCTCTTACCAGCCTTCATTCTCCAAGTCACCTGTGTTCCTTAGACCTCTGGGTTTTCAGACTCTTTCCTCTGCCCTGTACCTCCCTGATCCCACCTGGAGCAAACCTGTGGCTCAACAGCTGTTTTTCCACCAGTTGTGACATGTCTTTCAAATAATCCAGGTCATGTACCACGATGGTCTGGGAGGGGCTCAGGGACATTGGTGTGAATGTTGCTTGGAGGCAGGACAACCAGTCGATGGCAGGGGCCATTTCCTTAGAAGAGGGACACAAAGGCTGAGGGGAACAGAAAAGGAGGAGAGAAGGAAGAAGCATTTCCCCACCTTCAGGGTTTGAGGGGGATTGGGGAGGGGAATGGTTAGGGGAAAGGATGGAGCCAAAAATGTTAGAGATGGAAAGGAATTCAGGGAATGATGAGAAAGAAGGAGGTCAAGGAAGTTTGAAAGAAAGGACCTTATACCCATCCTCCTCCAGTCCCCGGTTCAAGGCACCTGCAGTTGGTCTATAGTGATGAGCTGGAAGAGCTTCCCCTGTGCCTGCTGCCGCCCCAGGGGCCTCAGAAACTGGAACAGTTGTGAGGTAATGGAGATGGACAAGAAGGCATGTTCTTGCACCTTGTCTGGGTCTCCTCCCAGCAAGGTTCCCAGCTGATTCAGGTAAGTCAAGTATTCCCGCACGATCTGGGGGAGGGGTAACCTCAGTCACAGGCACTAGTGGCCCCTGTCTTTCTCCTAGAGTCAAAGATCAAAACCTTTGTCCACCGCTCCATCTTACCTGGGCATAGATCTTCTGTTCCTGCTCTTGCTTGAGGGGGATGTCAAACTCTGGCTGGTCTATCTGGACACAAGAGAGACTGGAGAGAAAGGGGTAGTGTGGAGGAAGAAGAGGACAGGTGTGGGGAGATGGGGACTGTGCCATGGAAGACAGCCTCAGGAGATGGAATGAAGAGGGCACAGAGAAGGAGTGAGAATACAAAGAAAGGAAAGAACTGGGTGCAAGGGGATGGAGGAAATGTGAAGAGAAGGTGGGTATTTCAATCAGTTTTGGGGGTTCTCAGCGAGAGAAGCATGATAATCGTCTCCTGAAAGAAACCGTGTCTGTGCTAGGGCCAGGCCTAGAGTATAAGAGTGAGATACCATCTCAAATGCAAACTTTAAGAGGTAATAAAACTCAGTAATCAAGGTAACTAATAGCCTAATTGATATTTTTAAAAATCAAAATGAATGCTAAAAATCCATGCTGAGTAAAATAACAAGGCTTTGTTCACCATAGATTTTCTCCCCCAAAATGAGGGGAGAATATGAGCTGAGCCCTGAAGCGTGGTTGATTCAAATGTATTTTTTTATTCACTTTTTTAAAAAAATGTAGATATTTTCAAAAAAGTCTACAGTAGAGTTTTAATCTATTTTGGAAAAAATGTTTTGTTTTTCAAAAAATCCACAATGAAAAAAAATTGATATTTTGTTTATTGTGGATTTTTCCATTGACTTTCATTTTTTTAAAAAATTTCATTAAATATTATTTATCTTGACTATTGAGTTTTAGGGACTCTTTTAAATTTTGCACACTAGCCAAGTGGCTTGCTCACCTCCCTTGCCTCATCTTGGTTCTGGCACTGGCATGTCCTTGATTCTATTCTGGATTATTTCTCCTACACTTCCCTTGTTTTTTTCCAACTTCAATATCCCACTCCCACCTTGAGCTATCTACATTTCCCTGACCTTGAAAAAACTTTCACCTGACTCCTTTGTCATATTTTATGTCCAAGCTAAAGAACTAAGTCATCTATACCCCTGCTTCAGCTTCCTTATCTTCCTCCTACACTCTGTATGACCTGTGGCCATTTTCATAACCCTTTCTGATGTTATCTCTAGGAGGTTTCCAAGGCTGCCTTCTCATTCCTTATTCTCTGAGCTCAGAAATCTTAGAATCAAAAATGACCCCTCTCTCCTGAAACTGCCTCCTCCCATGTCCTATATGGCTCACTTTGTGGCTAGTCTGACTCCCACCGCGCTGCCTATTCTTGCTCCTCTCTGCCTCCACCCCCTCATTGGAGTGCTCCCCCAGTCTATTCTTTCTACTCATTCTGCTCCCCAGAGTCCATCCAGTCTCAAGTTGACAGTAACCACCTCTTTCCATTCATACAAAATCAAAACTGGGGGGTCACTTTGCAACTCCTCCATTTCCTTCATGTACGTTCAATTAGTCATCAAGTCCTCTGGACCATGACCACAAGGATAGAGTCACCTAAACCCTCACATCTGGGCTTTCCTTTCCATTTCTACCATAAGCATTTTAGCTCGGAACCTCAAAATTGCTCATCTCAATTCCTCAGCACGTCTAGGTTGACCTCCCAAACTGCTGACTCTACTTAAGTTCACTGTACAACCATTGTATTTGAAAGATTTCAGTTGCAATTTTTTTCTATTATGTCAAAAGTTATCACCTCGATCTGGCTTCTTAGGTATGGAATAATCAGTTCAACCTCATGTCTTCAGGCTTATTTTTACCTCTGATGGCACCTCACCGCATAGCCTCTGTTCACCCACCCCACCGAGGAGTCACACCATCCCAGGCTTTTCTCTTAGTTCAGGGCTTCCCCTAAAAAGCCTCTTAGGTGAAGCTAAAAGGCTCTTTTCATGTCCTTTTGCTTCACCTTTACCTCTATGAATCAACCACACTCCAGGGCTCAGCCCATATTCTCCCCTCTCTGATTCTTCCTTAACCATTTCAGATTTTAACTAATCCCCCAAGTTCATTAAACTTCTGAGCACACCCTTTGGAACTAAAGTCAGAATACCATATACTGACTGTCAGTTTTTCTTGTGTATTTATCTTTTATAAACTTGTGAAGTTTTTGAGAATGGGGTCAAATATATAGCATCACATTACCTGCCACAATACAGATGCCTCCAGTGTTTTTATTTATTTATTGCTCAACAAACACCTGGTGTGGGCCTGGCTTTGTGCTAGGTCCTGAGAATCACAGGTGAATAAGGTGTGGCCCTGTTTTTAAAAGGCTTACACCCTTCAGCACAGTGTTAAGTGCTGAGGGCATAGAAAAGGGGAGGGTGAATGGGTTCTCTATCTCGAGCCAGGATGTCAGTGAAGAGATAATAATGTAAGCCAAAATTTGACAAATATGTACATTTTCCAGGCTGAGCATGGGGAGTTGGGGAGTAGTGTTGTAGGTAAAGGAAGTCATATATATAATGGACTGAGGAGCGGTAAGTGAGTGAGCATGGCTTGGAATTTAAGGGGCAGAAGGGATGTGGCAGGAGATAAAGCTGGAGAAGTCTGTAGGGATCAGACTAAAAAGGCTTGCAAGGTTTTGCTAAAGATTAAGAACTAGATGACCTGGTGAGTCAGGGGCATTTAAGCAGAGATATTAGCACAATTACCTCTTGATGTAAATAAGAAAAGGGTGATAATGGAGATAGGGGTCTAGTTAAGAGGCTCCGGGGTAATCAGATCAGCAATAAGGAAGACCACAACTACTTATGTCTTCCCTGGACTGGCCTTGCTACTCTTTTCCCTAATCTTGCCTAGAGTCCCTAACTCTCACAAGAATAATTTTCTATAAAGATAGGTCTTTCCCCTACATTGCACATTTATCCTTTCTCCTGAAACCTGCAACCTTCCTCTAAGAAACAAGAAGCTAGAACTCTAGGCAGGCCCAGGTCTCGCTGTGTTTTTGCCAGTACATCCCTCACCTGGATGACTGGCGTGTGTGGAGGGTGGGGATGAGGTCCCAGATAAGCTCTGAAGAATGGGAAGTGACCATACTGACTCATCAGAAGTCTCAGAGTTCGGTTAAAGTCTAAGGAAGTCCAATTACCAGAGATTCGCCAGCCTCCAAGCTGAGAAGAAGAGAAACAAGGCTCAGCAAAGGGGTCTCATCTCTGACACCTGTATCCCATTTCTCAGATAGCTACTACTTCCTAACGTTTACTCTGAGCTCTTTGATCTCTCTAGGGCTCCACCTCTATCCTTCTTTCTCCAGCTTCACCCAAGGTCCTAATACTTTCTCAGTGCATTTCCATTTCCATCTTTCTCCTAGAACCTGGGGATCCACCCTCTAGAAAATAAAATGGCAACCCTGAGCATAAATTGATCCTACATAACATGTGTCCATAAGAGTCATGCCCCATGTCTCACCTCCTCAATCACTTGTCTGAGGGGACCAGCCCCTGCAGCCTCAATGGCACTTGTGTCCATGCAGGAGTTGTAGAACTGGAAGGCTTTCTCCTCCCCAGACCCCAGATGCCAGGATCCTGGGGTCTCTGGAATAGAAGCATGGATGAATTAAAGGAGTAGGGCCAGCACAGAGACAAGCAGTGAAGGTGTGAGGCTTATAGGAAAGAAAGGAAAGGCTCATGGGGAAAGGGAGGAAAGGAGAAGTGAGGAAATTTGGGGATATGGAAAGACTGTCCAATTTGGACTGGATCACCTAGATCAGTGGTTGGCAAACTCATTAGTCAACAGAGCCAAATATCAACAGTACAATGATTGAAATTTCTTTTGAGAGCCACATTTTTTAAACTTAAACTATATAGGTAAGTACATTGTTATTAACTTAATTAGGGTACTCCTAAGCTGGCCTTTGCTAAAAATGTCCTCAATCTGAGGGGTCGACCTCAACAAACGTACCCCTCTTCTTCTAATGCCACTTCTTCAAAATAGACTGGCCCAGGCCGAAAACCGACTTCTGTGCATGGGCCACGAAGTTTCAATCGCACTGTACATGCATACCCGCACGTGGTATTTTGTGGAAGAGCCACACTCAAGGGGCCAAAGAGCCGCATGTGGCTCGCGAGCCGCGGTTTGCCGACCACTGACCTAGATGGAAGAATAACAGCAGGGGAAAAGAGTGTGGAGGCGACAACGAGGAATATAAAGGGAAGGTGAGAAAGAAAATAAGGAGGAAAATACAGGGAACAAAAGGAAGAGAGAGGAATGAGTGAGATATGAATAAAGGAGAAAGGGTAGAAATTGAAGACAGGATGGAGATGAATAAAGGAATTAAAAAATTTAGGACATCAAAGAACTTTGAGGGATTGAAGAGAGGAAAGCTCATAATGAAAGGTTTAGCAAAAAGAAGAAACAGGGTGGGCTCCCCTAGTTCAGACTATTTACTTTTTGATCTCCCTAAAATAAACACATGACAATAACCAAAACACATACCCATTAAAATCATCCACCTTCTAATATCTAACACCTCTCCTTCAGTCCTTCTGATATCTTTTCATTCCATTGTAGGCAACAGAATTTATCCCAAGCTGCCCTAGCCTGTGTGGCTCAGTGGATAGAGCGTTAGTCTTCCGGACTGAAGGGTCCCAGGTTCCAGTTAAGGGCACATGCCTGGGTTGCAGGCTCAATTCCCAGTGGGGGGCATGCAGGAGGCAGCTGATCAATGATTCTCTCTCATCATTGATGTTTCTATCTCTCTATCCTACCTTTCTCTCTGAAATCAGTCAATCAAATAAATAAATAAATAAATAAGAAAAAAAGATTTTTTTTTTAAAAAAGAATTTATCCTAAGCCTATTGTTTCTTTTCATCTCTGTACCTAAATGAAAGCATGCCCCCCACCAAGGTCTAGCCTACTTCTCTCTGTGTCACAAAGAGAACACAGGGATGCATTTATTTCTCCTAAATTCCAATTGGTGCCCCAGGGTTTTTAACTTGGTTCTGTTCTTCATGCCTATCTATACTCATTCCTTAAACACAGCCATATAAAGTCCCCTCTATCACTTCTCACCCCACTATTCCACTTCTTTCTGACCATCATCTCCCATCATCCATCCCCATTATCCCACTTCTTCAAGTTCAGCTTGCACTCCATGGTCCCAGGTTTCAGCAGAGAACAGATGATTGTCATGGAATGGGGAGTTTATGGGAGGGAGAGGATAATATGACAAGGGGGCATTATAGACAAGAAGGATTTGAAGGCTAGAGACTGAAAGTGATGGAGAGAAGAATTAAAGTGCAAAAGCTCTTGAAGAGGTGCTGGTGGGGAAGATGCCAAGCATAGGACAGAAATTGAAAGTGTAAGGGAGATAATAAAGAAGATGGAGCTTGGTAAAAGGGAGGACTTGGAGAGAGTGGAGTAATCATGGATAAATGGGAAGGAAAAGAGGATGGGATTTAGATCAAGACCAAGTGAGGGACTGGAAGAGATGGATCAGAGGAGGTATGGATGTAAAAAGTACTGTAGGAGAGATGCAAACCTGGGCAGTGTTCTGAAAGCCCATTAGGGATGGTGCAGACCAGCTGTTCCACAACCACACAGGTTTGGGAGTCATGATGGTTCTAGGTTCAGTCACCCATTTGCACAGAGAATCTTTGCCCTGCATTCCTTACCCAATATTCTCCGAAGTCGGCTCTTGTTCTCCTCAGCAAGGGCCTGAAAAGAATTACTGGTTCCCTTGGCCTTTCCACAGGAAAAGCTGAAGAAGTCAGTGCAGGGTGCCACACTGGTGTTCCCAGAGGCCAGGTAATGATCCAGGAGATGCCAACACATGGGCATCTCACAGGGACCTGTGGGGGAAACGCTCAGAGCTGGGAGAAAAGAGAGATGAGGGCTCCCCCAAGGTCCTAGGCAAAGGAACATCTGGTGAGGACCAAAGAGAGACCTGGAAGGGGGTAGATGGAAGGGTCAAGATGAGTGATGAGTTAAATCAGTGGGCATGGAGCCTCAGGGTGATGGACAGATGAAGCCCATGACTGAGTGAGGGCTGATGGGGTTAGGGGTTCCAGGATCCTGCTTACGAGGTCCACAGCTCCGGAAGATGTAGAACAAAAGGACAGAAGAACCAAGGAGTAGGCCTAAAAGCAGGACAGCCATTATCAGCCGTCTGGCCATGGCCCACCATCTGCTCTGTTCAGTGGATTGCCCCTCTTCTGGAGGTCTCTGCATACAGGAAACCAGGTGATGAAAAACACAAAAGGGAGGGGAAGGGTGGAGGAAAGGTACAGGGAGAGGGGAGAGAATAAATAAGTTAGTGCTATGGCCCCTTGTTCCAAGACCATTCTCCCTAACTAGGCCCATGGGCACCACTGGGAGATGCATAGACAAGAGATGTTGCCTGTCCTGGATAAGGACAAAGCAGGCTGTGAGGGGTGGGATGCTAGAGCTGGAAGGGTGTCATAAATCTGCCCAGTGTGGGTCAAGGACATCACTTACCTCCTGGCTCCAGAGGGTCCCCATTCCACTCAACAGGTTCAGTCCCCGTGGTCTCCTCACACTTGTCCCCACCCTCCTGAACTGACTGAGCAGGAGGAGAGAGAAGCTGATTCAGGAAGGGGGTACAGTAACGAGAGTTATAGCAGGTCATTTTCGCACCTTCTCCATGCATATTTTCATCCCAGGGCAGTGTTCCCAGATGGGCTTCAGAATGAAAATGTCCCAAGGATGTACCACTAGCCCCCTACCCCCATTGTCTCCTGTCCTTTCTCCTTTCTACTCTCCAAGCCTCCCATATCCTCCCCTCCAGTGGCAAGCAAGGCATTCTCACACAGCAGCCGCCCCCACTCCCCAGCTGAGGCCTCTGACTCCAAAACGAAAAAAAAAAATTTTTTTTTCAGGGGACTTACCGTCTGTCTGCCTGTCCGTCTCTCTGTCCTTCTCTCTGGCTCCCAAAATCCTTCCCGGTTCTGGTCTGGATGCTGAGTCTGAGGAGTAGGATTCAGGAAATGGACCCCCTCCTTCTCCCACCCGTTCTTTGGTCCTGGAGAAGGGGCACTTCTGCCACTGGATGCCCCTGTCCCCATACACACACCATTGGCCTCTGGGTGGAGCCTGGTTATCAGTCAGGAGACACCCTGGCCTCTCCTCTTTATCTTAGCTTCTCAGGGAAGGCAAAGGGGGGAGGGGGTCCTCACTCCCCAAGCAATCTTACCCTTGGGAGGCTCCTCTTGCCTTGCTCTGCCCCTTTGCCAGTGTCTCTTGTCTTTTATAATGTTCAGAAATAAGTCATGTGCTACTTCCTGATATGTCAGTTCTCCAAATTAGACTCTTTCATATACTCATTTGCCTCAAAGTGAGTGGTAAACATGATTCACAGCGAGGGAAAGAAAACCCCAGTATCCCCAAACTCTCTTTAAAAAGTCCCCATTCTCCAATATCTTAGCAAATTCTTAGCCTTTTCTTATATTGCATTGAGATGTGAGAGAAACCAAAAGTGGAAAAACCAGGTTCACCATTTCATCCTTTACTACATAGATGGTCTGATACTATTGTATTGCTTTTAGAAACTCTGGAACAACATAAATAAATACATGCAAATTATGATAGCTATCATTTTTTATTGGTCTACAATATGCAAGGCAACATACTAATGATACATTACTTCCTTAGTCCTATACTAATCTGTCAAATAAGGTATGGTTACTTTGTTTTATAGATGAGGAAATTGGAGGTACAGATTGATTAAGAGATTTTCCCAAGATCACATGATTAGTAACTGGTAGAATCCAGATTGAAATCAACTCCAGACTGTCTAGATCTGGAATTCCTGCTTTACACTAGTACACATAATTTCTATCTGTGAAATAGACTGAGTATACTTGTTGAGTCTATCAGGTGAAGAATGGTATAACCAAAACTCATACAGAAGGCTGGGAGAGGTAAGATCACAGGGAAGATATGGCCTGTTAAGATGTGAATGCCTCTAACTGCCATGTTGCTTAGAAGAGGAAAGGGAGAAAAAATCAAAACAGTCTGTCTTAACAGTCCAAGGGTAAGGCAAACATTTGAAAATAAAGGAGGCAGAAAATTACAACCAAGGATGCATTATTTTCTAGATAAGATGCTGTGTGTGTGTGTGTGTGTGTTTAACTATAGGGAACGGGCCCTGGAAAGTGTGGCTCAGTTGGGTGGGCATCATCCCATGCACCAGAATGATTCTGGTTAATTCCAAGCAGGGCACATGCCTAGGTTGCAGCTCAATTCCCAGTAGAGGACATGCAGGAGGCAGTTGGTTTCACTCTCACCTTAATGTTTCTCTCTCACCATCCCCCCCCTCTCAAAATCAATTTTAAAAAATCTTAAATAATGATAAGAGAATTAAAGAATTGAATTTGGGGTGGGGGAGAAGAGAATAAGTAGAAGGAATAGCTTCCCAGGTTGGACATATGACTGAGATTCCCTATTTCAATTCAGAGTAAGCTTGCCCTGTTGCGTGATGACACAATCAATCAGTAACTAATAAATGTTCTTGGTAGTAGAAGCTCTAAATTAAGAATGAGGGCATCAGGCCCTAGCTGATTTGGCTCAGTGGATAGAGCCTCAGCCTGAGGACTGAAGGGTCCCAGGTTTGATTCTGGTCAAGGGCACATGCCCGGATTGTGGGCTTGATACCCTGGGGTGGGGGGGTGCAGGAAGCAGCCGATCAATGATTCTCTCTCATCATTAGATGTTTCTATCTTTCCCATTCTCTCCCTTCCTCTCTGAGAGAGAGAGAGAGAGAGAGAGAGAGAGAGAATGAATAAGGGCATCAGGCCAGGTAAAGGTGTGACTCTTTGGACTCCCTGGAGACCAGATATAATTAACAGCTATCTCTACAGATTTCTCCATGTTCTAATATTGGATATCTTCTTCCTGAGTCTTGTGCTCTTGACAACTCCTGATAGTTTCATCTAGTTCTTGAATTCAATACATATTGTTGATGACTTAGTACCTAAATTCTCAGCCTTGATTTTTGTGTTTTTCTACCCAAAGGTGTATCTACCTCCTGCAATCCTTATCTATGGCCCTCCTGAGATATTAGTCAGGTAGTGATGGAATTCAGAATAAAGGTCTGTGGGTATGGAGCTGGATTATAGAACCTAACCTGAGTTTGTCAGGAGTTGAGGATACAAGGTGTAAATTTAAGGTGATTTTCTTAGAGTGTATATAAGTTTAAATCTGTACAAGCAAGTGCAAGCACACTCTGATAGATAAGTTCTAGGCCTAAAAGAGGGGGCAGAGCCAATAGTCGGAAGCATAACCAGAAGGAAATTAAGAGGTCAAGGTGAATCTTTAAATTATTAGTTTTTCCTGCAAAGGTAGGGGAGCCTTTGACCATTGAAGTGAGTGGAAATGCTGGTTTACAGTTCACAGATAAGAAAATGCCACATTGCCATGTGGCCTGAGATGCCTGGCAATGCTTGAGGGCACATGTCACAAGGGCCATCATTCATGTGATATGAGTATTTGTAGGCGTTCATCACATAGAAGATTGGCCAAGTTGGGTTCCTGCCATTTCTTTTTTATGTAGATTTCTGCGGGTCTCATATAAGGTGACAATATTTCTGCTGCCACACAGGTAGACAAAGCTCTTCATCCTAGCTAGAAAGCATGTGAAGTTTTCAATAAAGTGGGTGTAATGGTTTGAGTTTAATGTCTAGCAATGATTCACTACTCTTCCCCTCCCACTATGAACAAAACACTTTTCCTCGTCCGTTGATGTTAGACTTGGCCATGTGACTTGCTTTGGCCAGTGGAATATTACTAACCACGATGAAAATGAAAACTGAGACTTAAAATTACTTGCATGGTTTGGCTTGACTCTTGCATTCAGGTGATCCTTTATGGGAAAACATGACTTGCTTAGGCTCTGCTCCTTCAGCCTGGGTTCCTGAACAAATACATGCGGCAGACCTGCATAAACCTATGTCCTAGGTCAGTGATGGCGAACCTTTTGAGCTCGGCGTGTCAGCATTTTGAAAAACCCTAACTTAACTTTGGTGCCGTGTCACATATAGAAATTTTTTGATATTTGCAACCATAGTAAAACAAAGATTTATATTTTTGATATTTATTTTATATATTTAAATGCCATTTAACAAAGAAAAATCAACCAAATAAATGAGTTTGCGTGTCACCTCTGACACGCGTGTCATAGGTTTGCCATCACTGTCCTAGGTTCAAGCCCATCCAAATGCAACCTGAAGCATGCTTGAACACAGCCTACATCAGCTGGACAGCAGTTAATGCATAGATGCTTGTTCTTGTAACCATTGAGCAATATACATTAATAAAAGAGAAACATGCAAATTAACCATCCACTACACCCACAAGCCACTCCCACAAGCCAATCAGGAGCGAGTATGCAAATTAACCCAACTAAAATGGCGGCAGCCACGGAACTGGAGTGAGCAGGAGGCTTGGGTTGCTCCCGGTGATGGAGGAAGCCAAGCTTCCCGCCTGCGCTGGCTGGCCCTGGGCTCCACTCAAGGCTACAAAGTTTCAATTATAGAAGATAAATAAATCCCAGATACTTGCTTCCAGCTCCCCCTGGCCTCTGCTCAAGGAGGTGCTGAAAAAAAAAAAAGAAAAAAAGGAGAGGCTGGAAGCTTGGGTTGCTGGGGGGCATGGCCAGCCTGAAAATGGCCATCAGCCCCTCACCCAGGCTGGCCAGGCACCCCAGTGGGACCCCCACCCTGATCCGGGACACCATTCAGAGCAAACCAGCCGGCCCCCACCCGTGCACCAGGCCTCTATCCTATATAATAAAAGGGCAATATGCAAATTGACCCTAACAGCAGAACAACTGGGAATGACTGGTCACTATGACACACACTGACCAGCAGGGGGCAGACGCTCAATGCAGGAGCTGCCCTCTGGTGGTCAATGTGCTCCCACAGGGGGAGCTCTGCTCAGCCACAAGCCAGGCTAACGGCTGCCAACACAGCAATGGTGGCGGGAGCCTCTCCCGCCTCCTCAGCAGTGCTAAGGATGTCCGACTGCAGCTTAGGCCTGCTCCCCGCTGGCAAGTGGACATCCCCCAAGGGGTCCCAGACTGCGAGAGGGCACAGGCCAGGCTGAGGGACCCCCCCCCTGAGTGCACAAATTTTTGTGCAATAGGCCTCTAGTTTGTTATAAAGCATTATCATAGTAGTAGTTGACTAAGACAGTGGGCTTAGCAAGATGTTATCCAAATTCTTTATGAGTATACATACATGAAATTGATACCTTTGTTGACTGAAGTTTCCTTTATTAAGAGTAATTCCCTGTATCCCTGTCAGATTGGGAAGAAGTAAGTGGTAGCATAGAAAAATACCAAGAAAAATAACGAACAAGGATCTTCTTTTTGAGATGTGTCAACATGTACACTTTCAGACTTTAGTCTTTGGGTATTGCCTTCAAGTTTTTGCCATATTCAAATACCAAACCAACTATTACCTAATAATGTTTGATGGGCTTACTAATTTAACAATGATTGCATATTCTTATTCTAATCCTATATCTATAAAAGAGATGCACATGGTGTAAATATTAAAAGTAGTCCTTCTATTGTTACTTAAATTTCTTCCTAAAATCATAAATTCTACTTTCTCAAAGGTGATTCCCAACACTCATTATGGCTCCCTTTGAAAATGCAACTAGAATGTCCCCAAACCTGCCTCAGTGATCTGTTTTTTCCTTCTCTTGTCAACTGCCCCAGCATTCCTGGGACATCAAGACTTATTCGGGCTCATTCAAAATTGGGTTTATTGCTCCTCAGAAGGTAGCTTCTTTGCTGTTGTCACTGAAATCAAGTGATCCTAGAAGTGGATTGCTAGTGATGTACATACCTGAGAGTACCACATTATACAGATAAATGTCCCATCCTTGATTTTGATACCTTAACCACTGTAGATAGTAGCTCATTATATGGACAGATAACAAATGCCACAATCTTCCAAAGGTGAAATCAGATGTTTGAGAGTTTGGAGAATACCAGCCCCAAGGCACCTATATAACACTAGAGGCCCGGTGTATGAAATTCGTGCACTGGGGGGGGGGGTCCCTAAGCCCGGCCTGCACCCTCTCACA